AAAAGAGTGATTAGCTAGATTAAACCAACTCTTATTACTCTTCAACTGAAATAAGGGTAGAGGCTGAAGAATGGTTGGCTGGATTAAACCACTCTTGGTACTCTTCAGCCGAAGTACGCATATCGGCTAAAGAGTGGTTGGCTAGTACGCTCAGTCAGATTGCTCAACTGAGACCAGAATAAAGTATCTCGGATGAAAAATAGTATGCTTTAAGTTACAGTTAGAAAGCATGCTCAAACAGGAAAGTAAACCAAGATTACAGTTGGAACAATAGAAGTCATCAAAAAGTCATTACAGGTACAAGCATACAGCTCAAACCGGAATAATAGTTAGTACAAAAGAAGATGATTCTCATTAATCAAGTTCAAAGCAATTACAAAGGGGGGGCCATAGCCCGGTTACAAGTCGAAGCAAAAAGAAGAAAAAGAAAAAATATAAATTAATTAAAAAGGTCTTCAAGATCGGCTTCAATATCAACCTGAACACCGGTTGCAGATGGAAGATCAGTCTCAGTAGCAACTGGCAGCACGGTGTCAGTCGGCGGCTCAACAGTTAGGTCTTCAAACGTTGGTTCCAACCGAGCTGGTTGATCGTTGCCTTGCTCGTTGACTACCGGAGTAACAGTTGGCTCATTTTCTTCATCTTCATCATCTGAACCCTACAAAAATTGTTGTTGGACAGAAGCAGCATACTCCGCTAGTGAGGCCGGAATGAAATACTGAGGAGCATTGTAGACCTCGGTTTCGGGCCCACAGCCGAGCTATTCCACAGCACTTCTCCAGCCGCACTTGAAGAATAGGTCCTTCGCTCCCTCACATTGTGGAATGTGGAGGCCCTCCGCCTCCTTGAAACCTTCGGCGTTGGCATCACCCACCTTCTTCTTCAGATCGGCGATTTCGGCGTCCTTTTTCCCTTCAAGCTTGACTAGCTCACAAAGGTACTTGTCTTTCATCACGGTCAACGCCTTCTGCTTGTCAACTTCAGCCGAGGTAACTAGTCCGGTTAGACGAGCTACCTCAGCCTCTAGCTCGGCCGTTTTTTGATGGGACTCCTTCAGCTCGGTTGTTTTTGCTTCAACCTCTGCCATGGCCTGCCTAGCCGTTTTCCTGAGCTCCAATACCTTTTGATGGGCAATTTGGCTCTTCTGAAGAGACTGAAATGAACGGAAAGAAGTCAATGAAGAAACCGAACTGAAAGTTCGAAAAATTTGAGAGACGAGGGGCATCTTACCAGGATCATGGATTTAGTGGCCGATCGGATGGCCCTTAGCTCGGTCAGGTTCTGGTGGTGTTCCATGTCTGCTAGAAGGCAAACACTCTTGGCAAGGTTGAAGGCCATCAAGTGATCCTTCTCAGCAACCACCGAATCGGTATCTTGGATATGGCGGTTCTGAAATTTCAGCTTCGGTGCCCACTTGGAAGAGCCAGCCCGGTCAGAAGGCTCCATTTGTGGAATCGGTGGAGAGGTGGTTTCGTCCTCATCCACTAGACGCTACTCGGTTGGGGTAGACCGGGCGCGCTTGGATGGGCGTGATGAAGAAGGTTGTTGAGAAGGAAGGGCCACAACGGCTTGTTGCGTTTGGCTTGGTGGCGGTACTTCAGGTCTGTTGGTTTCGGTCAAGAGGGCCCTGACTCTATTTCTCTTGGCCATTTCTTGTTCGGCTGTGAGAGGGACCAAGATAATTTGGGGTAAAGTTGGGTCCGGTTCTGTGGCGTCCTCAAGCAGAAAATCTGTTACTCTGGCTTTTCGGCGACCACTGTAATGGTATGTCGGCTCAAAATTAAGAAGTTTGGCCCAACTTCTTTCTGAAAAACGTAGTGCGGCACGAAGCGTGTTCAAGTTGGGGTAACTATACAAAGATTGCAGATGGGCTGAATCTGCATAAACAAGACAAACTGTTAGTTCGATTCAAGAGCAGGTAACCGAAATAAAGCAAAGCATGCCAAAAACCGAAGTAATTATACCAGGTTCTCCTTTATTCCAGTTTATACTTCGGCCAGGGATCTGGGCTTGCTGGTCTTCAAAATTGCCAGACACCCAGAAAAAGTCATCATCGTTTAAGTCCTTATCCGGCGTATCTTTTATTATTTTTTCTCTGCGACGGCGTATCCTAAGGTAGTAGACCCAGCCGTCATCTTTGGAGCCAATGGAGTATTGGTGGAATAGTTTGTCTTGTTGTAGTATGGTTCGGTGATTTTTGAGTGAAGACGACGTATTGGATGGTGTTTGGCTGTGGGGGAATCTTAGTCCGGTTTCTATTATTGATAGGAGGGTGAAAGGTACATAGCCCTGTTTTCCCCATGGAAGGGTATCTTGTTCGGCCAGAATAAGCTGGACGTCGTTAGGGATGTTGTAATCCCTTCGGAATTCGGCCAGGCCACCAGGGGTTTCTACCAAAAACCTATACTTCCCCATTTATTTTTTAAGTTATGGATAAATTAGTTCGGTCGCAAAATTTTGCTCAGTAGCTCAGTTGAGCACGCAATGGAGGGCCTGGGCAACCTAAGTCTGCAAAGTGGAAAACAAAGGGGTAAAGCACAGATCATTGGACCGTGCTACAAAATAAAAGCAAGAATAGGAGTCCTACTTCGGCTGTGTGGGATGCTACAGGTTCTGTCTCGGTTTGAACAAGATGCTTAGTAGCTTGGATTAAGCAGGGGGTTCGATAGCTCGGTCTTGGCAAAGTGATTTGTTATCTCGGTTAAAGAGAAGGCTCAGTCAGATCGGTTAAGCCTCTAGGGGCAGCTTTCTGAGTTCGGTCTAAAAACTTAGAAAGCTGGCTTAGCCCCAAAGACCTAGCTCAGTCGAAAGATAAGGTTTCAGTATGCTACGTTCGGTTCGTTTATCCCGGCTACGGTAAATCAAAGGATGGTTTGACTTATTGAAATTGCTAGTATGAATATGAAGTGCTAGCTCGGTCGTATAGATAGATTAATGTGGCATTGACTATAAACTACTTTTTAGTTCGGTTATATGGTAATCTTGGATCAAACACGGTGTTTTATAGATTACTTCATAAAGTTCATGGGGTTCTTATGAAGTTTTTCCTAGAAAACGCAAGGTGGAGCAAGAATATATGTTTGCAAAAACAAAAACAGTGTGCCAGGAATGAAAGAAAGCAAATGCAAAGACCACAAAACAAAGTACGAAAACAAGGAAAGCAAGATAGAGGTGCAGTGCTTACCAGATGAAGAGGCAAGAACTAGAGATGAAAGCAGCAGCAATGGAGAACACGAGCTCGGAGGTTGAAGAGCAATGGAGGCAAAAAGAGAGAGAAGAGCTTGAAAATAGTAAAAATGATCGATGAGGGTGATTCAAAGGATGAAAGGGTTGTTTTGTGGAAAGAGAAGGGGCAAAAGGCGGGAACTGTTCAAATTTTGCGGAGTACGAGGGCGGCGCGACAGCTGCAGTAAGCCAATATCAACATGCCACGTGTCATACGGATAAGAATCGATTCAGTTTCTGTGATTGAAGGGACGTTGTGATCGGACAAGCACAACTCGGCTTAGGTTTAGCCCGGTGAGAGAGTTTTAGCTCGGCTGGAAAGGCTAAAGGGTTTTTTTAGCTCGGTTGAAAAGGTAAAACTTTAGCCCGGTTTATAGACAGGTAATCCCTATCATGCTACGCAGATGGAATTAAGGGGCAATTGAGAGGGTAATTTATATGCAAAATTGGGCTGAGCTGGGCCTTTATGGGTCTCAGTACGAAGGGCTGAGTAAGGAGGCCATAAAGTTACTCCAGTCTTGAAGAGGCTTAAAGTTAGCCCGATCTCAAGCCCAGAAGGTAGACCGGTCCGAGTTACTCTTGATGTTAGTCCGGTTAAAGGACGTTTTGTAGTTGGACCAGTTTAAGGATGCGTTGAACTTGTATCGGTTAAGGCACAGTATGGTTAGTTCGGTCTAAAGCCTTGCTAGAAGTTAGATCGGTTTAGACTTAACACTGTTGACAATAGAGGAACTGGAGTAGGAACACTGAAGGTAGAACCGAACTAACGATAGTTCGGTCTACTCTGTGGCTCGGCGTGATCATGATTACTTCGGTCATATTGGAGTTCGGCCATGGTAAAAACCATCTCACTTGGTTTAAGCAGTGAGGGGGGTGTTGAAGGATAAACATTATCTTTCAGGAGTATGAATCCTAGGAGGACTCTGCATGGAGGAGTAGAAGTCCTATTAGGATTGTGCCACGCAAAACCTATAAAAGCTCACAAACATCACCTTTGGAGAGGTAACACAACTTTGTTTTCTGGATACACAGAGCTTTTGTCTATTTGTCAAGCTTACTGACTTAGGCATCGGAGAGGTTTTCGGCACACACCCGCCGGCTAGCTCATGTTTGTGTTTTCAGGTAATAAAGCGACGTCGTACGAAGGAACGCAAACTTGATCAACAGGATTATACGAGAAGATTTATTTCTTTCCCGTACAAAAATAATAATTCTTGATTAGCTATTTAAACAAGAATCTCATTTTCAAATAGAGTAGGAATTCAATTTGCTCACTCCCTCGTTAGAATCTCATATTTCCTGAAATGTTAATCATTTAAGAATAAAATATAATTATTGAACTCGCAATCTTTAAAATTTTCTCATTTTTCCTTTTTAGATTCCTAGTTATAGATATTAGTGTAGTCCATGTGAAACCCATTGTCCTAGTTAAATGACACTTTTTTTTATACGATGGTCAAGGTAAAATTATTTAGGTCTTGGAGGAGACGGTGATTCTTTAGGACAAATGCAATTTCTTTTTAACAAGAATTTCGATTTATGGTCAACTTGTTAAATAAGTAAAGTTTAAACATATTTTAAAACTCATTAAGTTATTAAATTTGAACAACTCACTGCTTGACTCGATCAGCTTATGGGTACCATTAAAAAATGAGCTACTTTTCTTCGGCTCATTATCTAAATAAGTCAAGTTTAAATATATTTTGAAACTCGTTAAATATACAAGTCAAACTTAAACAACTTCGTTTACATTACTGCCCTACTTACCGCTAATGTGGTCATTGCATAGGGTGAGGTCGTCATTTTTTTATTCTTAAATTTTCATAACTGTCAAGTATAGTTTACACAAATTACATCTTAAGGAGTAGTAGTCATGTTGACAAACAGGTCATCATGACGCAAATCTTTTAACATAAACAATATCAACTAACAGAAGCTCAAGTACCCAAATCAAGCTAGTCCTACTATGGATAGGGAGGAGATTCATAGGATAGCAGAGAAAGCAGATGATTTTAAAGGTTTTGAGCTGAATTAACCAACTTGTTGCTGAAATCCCACAGTTTCTTCGCTAACGCCTCATCTGTGGCGAACATGCTTGCCGGCCACTCGTTGCAGTCCAGGAAATACTTTCCAGTCACACCTTTCAGCTTTGGGTGGAGCGCGACGTAGCACGTTGTGGCTGCCCCCTGCAAAACAAAATGAAAATGAAGTAAGTCATTGTTAGCAGCCGATAATAGAGGCACTAGGCCTAGATTGAAAACTTTTAATTGATAAATCTTCCAAATAAATCACAAAGCACTTTCATTCACATGTACTCTTTCTAACTTAAAATGATCTTATGGTGACTTTAATGTGAAATTAAAATAGGTCTCAATCATCAACTGAGGTGAGATCAAATAGATTTAGATTCTTTATAATAAGATCTTTACACTACAAAAAGAATGACAAAAAATCATTAAGAATTGAATGAGAATTTGTCTCATAAAATTTGCCTCATGAATGAGAGATTGAGAAATGATAATTGTGCATATAACACATGGTGTGGCCTAATGTAAGAAACCATGTGGTACATATGGTGTCGCCTAACTACGAGAGACACATGATATTGGAAACCATGAGGCATACATGGCCTAACCATGAGGGACACATGGTCTTAGACACCATGAAGTACACATGACTTTGTCATATATGCCTATTTAAAGACTCATGCTCAACATTGTGAAGACATTGCAATAAGTTCTCTCTCTATTCATCTATCTTAGGGTTACCATTTGAAAGCCTAGAAATTTTGAGTGTGGATAAATATTAAGAAACTCTAGTAGCTTCTCCATTGATGGAGGGTTTTCTTGATGAGACTCGTAATTCTAGCATACGATCCAAACCATTTCCGCATCAAGCTCCTCCTCTCTCCCCCTTTGTATATAAAATAGAAACCAACTTCTTTGGTTGTCAACACAAAATTTCTTTGCTCTCAAGTAATAATCAGTTTACTTTTATATTTTTCTTCTTGTGTGAGAGAATACTGCCATTATCAGCTCACGGAGCTAAACAGAAGGTGCTTCCAACCGTCGTATCCTGGAAGACAGACGCCAACATACCTCTAGCACCCACGGTGAGGTGGTGAATCTGTTTTAAGGAGACTGTAATATCACATAGACTTTGGTTTGCTTTCTTTTCTCATTTCAATGTTTGATTTGTTATACGTATTTCTATTCATCAAGATGTAATATCCCATGATTTCTTGTTATGTGTTTTTCTAATTTAATTTACTATAAATCTATTTATTTTTATTTAAATACACAATTTGAACAACAATAACCGAGTTTAGTGAGACACAAAAAACAAAAGAGAACAAACGCTAAAAATTGTAAATTTCATGCGCAGATAAGAATAAAAAATTTTATGTAACTAACCCGAAATTAGAGCTACATACAACGTTGCTGCAGTCCCACCATGAGTAGAAAAAGTTACATAAAATACGTACTTATTTGCACCCCTCGACTACATATTTACTCTTTATTGGTGTAACCTCACTAGAAGTGAACTGACATGGTCTATTCCAGAGCGGCACCAGTACCACTAAGGCAAGACAACACGTTGTGATTTTTACTACTCCATTAATGTTGTGTTGGATCAAAGATTTGAGAGATTTGCATAGGGAAAAGAAAAATGAAGAAAAAAGTGAATAAAATATAAGTTAAATTTTTTCACTCTTCACTTCTTATTTTTTTCTTTTCCTCTCCAAATTCTTAACCCAAACACATGCTTAAGGAATTGTCCCTTTTTTTTCCCCTCTCATTGATGGATGGAATGATTACCTGTGGGACGTTTTTCCACAAGAGATAAGTGAATACCTTCAAAAGACCTGAAAAAAAAAGGCAAGGAAAAAAAAAAACATGATTAAAACAATTTGACTAGCCTTCCCCCTTTTGTATTCACATATTTTTTTTCCTATGAAGTACATACTCATTAGAAAGAAAGAATGTCTCATGAGATTTGTCATTATTAACCCAGGATGCACTGAGTTGACTGTAATATTTGCACCTTCTTCCTGCATCACAAGTAAAGAAATATAGTCAGAATTCAGAAACATATGAGATGAATTTAGATCAAAGAAATGTTAATTAGAAATCACTATGATTTTCAAAGATGCCAAATTTTAAGTGGTACCAGAGACCTAGGAGAATCGAATCCCACCTTCACCTAGGAAGGGGGGGTTACAAGCAACGAAAGGGCTAACTGCCATTGTGTAGCCCCATCATCAATGGACCCAAAAAAGGGAAAATCTTCGAATAATGTAATGAGTTGAACCACTTAGTAAGTATGATCCATCTATAACACTTGTAGCGCAAGAGAAATCAATACGGCAAAAATTTCATGAAAAATTCATCATCTTTTCTGAATTTACTATTTCCTGATTTTTTTTTCCTTAGTGAACAAAACAAGGTAGGAGGGGGCGATTAGTGCGTGACAAACCATAGGAGACCCCACCCGCTAGGGAGCCTAACTTCTAGTTTTTCATAATGTCATGATTGAATTACTGTCATGTTTGTCACTGCCTAGTGTGAAAACAGACATTTTGGTTTCAGCTTCTCACGGATTAGCCAATGAAACTGAGAAATTTCTGACCACACAAGTGTATTCTTCTGTAGAAATGAGGAAAGGCCCAAGGAAATTTTTATAAGTGGTGCTAACATGAAATTGAATTGTCCGACATGATTCAATTCACTGCGGCTCCTAAAACCATATGTACAAGGGAGGTTGACACTAAAAAAGATTTATTTTGTACAGATCATATGGTCAAAAATAGCTGAATCACCTGCAGGCGACGAGAGAGCTCGTTGGCGTGCAATATGTTGGCTAATTTGGATTGTCCATATGCCTTTTTGTCGGAATAACTTATTTGAGACAGCAAATGAACAGAAAAACCATGTTAGCTTTGCATAAAAACAGGTTTACACAAATGTATTAAACTGTGAATCCCCAACAAGAAAAGGAACCACTTTTGAATTATACCTATCTTGATCGTTAATCTTATCAAATTGAATCCCTTTTTCATAAGTGTGGAGGTGGGCTATTGACGACAGGTTCACAATCCTACCCTCGATACCTGTAGCTCTTGCCGTGTCCTTCATTTTGTCAAGGAGCAAGTTTGTTAAAAGAAAATGACCTGAAATAACCGATGAATTTAAAATTTAAAGATCATTAATTGAACAAATTAATCAACAATGAAGACATGCATACTATTACGTACCAAGATGATTTGTTGCAAACTGCATCTCTATTCCATCTTCGGATAGCTGGTAGGGGCAAAACATAACGCCGGCATTGTTTCTGAAATTATATGCCAATCATCTCATTAACAACACAAAATTAACAGAGATTTGATGACTTGAAATTAAAGAGAGAGCAAGAGAGATAACATTAGGATGTTGAGCGGAAGATTAAGAGCATTAAAGTTGTTAGCAAAGGCTCTAATTGACTTCATTGAGCAGAGGTCGAGTTTTAGGACGTCCACACGAGCATTTTCGTTGTCTTTGAGAATGAACTGTTTGGCTTCATTCGCAGCTTCCATGTTCCTCGCTGCGATAATGACATGGGCATTCCTAAGAGCTAAAACTCTTGCAGTCTCCAAGCCAATCCCACTTGCCCCTCCTGCACTTGATTTTAATTTTCCATTTAGAATTTGATCACAAACAAACTAAAGAACATTGAATTCAGTCAATGTAAATTACACTCAATAGGCTTAGCCTTAACTCTCTTCATTTCTAGCAGAAATGTTTCTGGATTCAATGGTTGAACCAATGTTATCGGAAAGTGTTAAATACCATAGTGATTTTTTTAGAACAGACGTTTCGATATATGATATATTTTTCATTCCGGTAAATTTAGTGATCCAAATAGTTTCAAATTTTTTTCCCCCTAAAATGTTTGAAAAATATAAAGGCGCTGTTTGGGAAGCTGCCAACGAGGCTATTATAGCCTCATTTGATAAATAAGCCAAAAAGTGGCACTGTTCACAGCTTTTTTAAAAAAAAAAAAAAAAATAGGCACTGCGCTGGACAGTGTAGGCTCACAGCCGGAAAATGATACATCAATGGGAAAATTACCATTTTACCCCTTGATATCAATTTAAAAAATAAAAAGTTAGGGACAAATTTGTCATTTTAAATTTAAACATCATTTCAACACACTTTCCAATACAAGAACCCAACTAAAAATTCATCTCATCTTCCCAAACACAAAACTAAAATAGCCTACTAAAAAAGCCAAATAGCCTACTAAAATAGCCACTTCGCAAATGAGGCCAAAATATAATAAACTAAAATCTAGGGAGAGCTAGAGCTTTGAAAAAAAAAAAAAAAGAAAGAAAGAAAGAAAAAAAAGCCATAATGTTCCTATAAATATGTTTTTACATGATGATTAAAAAAAAAACTGTATTTTGTAAATATAAATTAAAAAATAAAAAGATATAAGATCCAATAGCGCCTAACCTTTTTCCGTTGTTAATTTTCATCAAATTACATAATCAGATTCTCACACACACACACACACACACACAAAAGAAAAGAAAAGAAAAGAAGAAAAAGAAAAAGAAAAAGGAAATTTGCAATTTTTCTTTAAATGAAATGAAACAAGGTGACATTAATAGAAATTTTTTAGGGTCGGTAGGTTGTTGCACCAGAAACATGGGATTGAATAATTAAAAATATAAATGACAAAAAAAGGACATGAGATCCAATCACACCTTACCCTTTTTCCATTGTTGATTCACACTAAATTTAAATAGATTATAATAAATGTGAGGACCCTTTTGGAGGTAGTGATATTTTGTTTGGTTTTAATTTTCTAAATTCAATTTTATGAAAATTGTAATTTTTTTTTTAGTGAATATTTTTAAAATTTTAAGCAAATTTTTTACTTTTTAGATGTACCTAAAAAGTAAAATATTTGTAAAAAAATCAATAATTTTTTCTGTTGTTGGTATTTTTGGTATTTAGTTAATTTTTTAAAGATTTTTTTCACAAATATTATAGTTTTTAAGTGTATTTATGTTAGATATATTTAAAAACTAAAAACAATTCTTAAAATATTTAAAATATTCAATGCAAACGAAAAAATATGAAAAATAAATAATTTTAATTTTCTGAAAAGTGAATTCTAAAACCAAACTATTCCATGGGAAAAGGACTAAACCTATTTGCAATTTGGAGTAATAGTCACACATAAATGTTGAAATTAGAACTCATTTGCAAGAAGCTTAATTCCCTAACCAAAAGCAAATGAACAAAATTCTAGGGCTGTTATATATTACAAGTTTTCTTTTCATCGTTTTATATCATTAGGGTACATAACAAAATATTACTTGTCCTCGTTAAGTCCAAACAAGGAATCAATCATAAATATTTACGCCGTTGGTGTTACAAAATGGTGACAAAAAATTAGTGACATAGTATCTCTTCCAGAAAAACCAATTGGGTTGAGTGAGTTGGAAAGGAACAGATTGAGGGAACTTCTATTTACACAACAAAAAGTGTTCATTACACCCACTTTCTAGATGCATTCCCTTCAACAACAAAAAAAAAATTATCTCATTACACTATCTATACTTTCAAACATATCTTCATTTCTCACCTCTTATAGCTGTTTGGATTGGGTGATTTGGGAAGAAAAGAAAAAAAAATGGATTTATGTTGGTTCATATCATTTGTTTGGATAAGTAAAGAGGAGAGAAATTGAGTAAAATTAAAAGAAATAGAGAAAAACTCATTTATCTCATAATTCTTATTTTGAATCTCTACAAAATTGAAGAGATTGAGAGAGAAAATATACCAATTAAATAATATTGTGTTATAACACCAAAACTATCCATTTAGATATAGAAAAAATAAAAAGACTAACACTTATAAAAAGTTAATTTGGTAATATAACATGATATTATTACTTTTCTTTTCTTTGATATAACTTAACCAAACAAGATAAGAGAGAAATCTTTTTTTTTTCTTTTATTTTCTCTCATATTTATCCAAACAAGAATAGAATTAGGATTTCATCACCGGATGGGTCAAAAACAAATAAAAAAAATTCACCATATACATAAAAACACATTTATGTACAATATAATATATATAAATTATATATATACATAAAAAAATTCAAATATCATAAAAATAATTTCTAATAAGATAAGATTTTTTTGGTGCAAAATAAAAAGAGTGCAAAATGAGAGAAGAATACGATATGTACTGAGGAGTCATTTTATGATAAAATAAGAAATATTTTTAAAATATCATGACAAATCATATTTTTTTACAGAGACAGGAGTCATGGCCCTGTAATTTTCTCCTAATTCTATCCTTTATCCTTAGAGAGAAATCACAATTTTTTTCTTCTTTCTTTTCTCTCATAACTGACATAATTATTTTTTTTTCTTCTCTCTCATGTTACCAAACATAATGTTATTTCTCTTGACACTCCCAAATCTTTCAAACCCTAACTCCATACGCAACCCAACCACCACCTTCGACCATCACCACGCAGCCTTCTGCATGCAAGAGAGAGAGAGAGAGAGAGAGAGATCTCGGGTTTTAAGAAGAACAAGGGATGGTTGGGGGCAACAAAGAGGGGGTTGGGGTCATAGTAGATGGGGCAACAGGGAGGAGAGGGGTGATTGTGAGTAGTGGAGGCAGGAGTGGTGTTGGTGGGTGGAAGTAGTAGTGGTGATCCGGTGGATATAAATGGATATATATATATATATATTTTTTTTTTTATTTTAAGATTGAAAATGGTGAGTGGAATTTGAAATTAGGACTTTTGATATTTTAGGATTTGAGTTGTTTTTTATTTTTTTGATAATTTTATGCATGAATAAAATTTTAAAAAAAAAAAAACAAACAAACAAAACAAAATATGTAATGAGTTAATTTGAAATTTGTGTTTTACTCTAAATTTGTTTTTTACTCTCCTTTTTAAGTTTGATAATAGGCCACTGTAATCATCAGATATATATAAGACCGGGACGTGAACTTCAGGTACCCAAGGTACCAAGACCAACGCCTCGTTTAGGAATAGGTTAATTTAATAATTTTTTAATTATTTAGTTAAAATATGAGTTTAAAAAAATTAATTTTCGTTTGAAAAATGAGTTAATTTTTTGACTTTTTGATTTTTTTAGCTATTTTAATCTGGGCTAAAAAGTTTTGTTTGAGAAGGACTTTTTGACTTTTTCACTTTTTTTGTAAGAAAAGAATGTAATGATTATGGGTTGAATGTGATATTTTATTTTTTGTGACTAAAATAGCCTATTTTGTCTTTTGTGGCTAAAATAGTCAAAAATGCCTCGTTTAGCTCTTGTCAAACGGAGCCAAGGTATGTTTGGAATGACTTTTTAGTTTTTTACGAAAAGATGTGCAAAAAGTAGAGAGAAAAGAAAATATTTGACTTTTTGATATAAGTTGTTAATTTTTTGACTAATTTAATAATTTTTTAATTTTTTAACTAAAAAAATTCAGTTGCCAAACGAAACCTAAATGGAGAGTCAATAAAACAAAAAGCGAAAAAAATGAAGAAAGAAATGAAGAAAAAGATAATTAACATTTATTAGTCAGCATTCCCAAGACAATAATTAACATGCGAAAAATGCCTTAAATCCCACCACCTTCACTATTTTTTGATTGACTCAAATAAATAAAAAAATTATTTTTTTCAGTCTTACTCTCCCGCCCCTCACGTGGAGATAGGGGTGCTGACGTCACTCTTACTGGCGATCCCCAACACTGTTGTTAACATGCAGAGGACTTTCTCGATTAAAACAAGAGTAATGATAAGGTAAATAATTTATTATAAATATCTCATGTTTGGAATTTACAAGATAAAATATTTAATAAAATATTTAAAATTTCTGATCTTTTTCGTTAAAAAATCCATATATATAAAATAGAAGAGTAAATGCAAACCCATGTAAACAAACATGAATTGAACAAATCATCTAAAAATAGCAAATTAATAATAGATGATGATGATGATAGAGACATGTATGGCTGTTATGAAAAGGTCTAACTAACCAGTAACAATGGCAGTGAGGTTGGTTGCATCAATCCCATCTGAAACCTGTTCAGCAGTTGAAGCTGATCCAAACCCACTTGGCCCTGGCATTCCAAATCAATACGGCAAAAATTTCATGAAAAATTCATCATCTTTTCTGAATTTACCATTTCCTGATTTTTTTTTCCTTAGTGAACAAAACCAGTTATATATATCTATACTCTATATATATATACAGAGAGAGAGAGAGAGAGAGAGAGAGAGAGAGAGAGGTGATAGTTGTGAAATTGTGGGTATTGGTTTGGAGCATTGTGGGTATTAAATAGGTCACAATGAATGGGGGCATTTAAAGCCTCACTCAGTAATAACTGAATTAGCTCCCACCCACCCACCTCTTCTCAATCAACTATCTGTCTTTTAGCTTTCGTTTAAGATGGGGTTAATTTTTTAATTTTTTAATTTTTAAAGTATATTAGTTTGGGATTAAAAAAATTTATTTAGAATGGATTTTTTTTTACTTTTATAAGAGAAAAAATAAAATAATTATAATTTAAATATGATATTTTATTTTATTAAATTAAAAAGTTTAATTTATTTTTTTATGACTAAAATAGACCCAACACACCCCAAACCTTCATGCCACATGAATCCGTAATGATCTCGTTTGGCTTATATGAATAATTCATTTTACAACAATAATTAAGGGCTCGTTTGGTTTGATTTTCTGAAAAAAATTTGGGAAATTTTCTCTACAAATAAGTTTTCAAAAATAACCAAACCAAACAAATTTTCCCAAAAAAATTTCCCAAAACTTGTAAACCAAACAAGTTTTCCAAACAAATCTCTCTCTCGCACACATCAAATCAATCACTTTTTCCAAAACTCTATCTTAAAATAATTTTCCAAAACATCTTTTAAAAAAAACCAAACCAAACATGTTTTCGTACTTTTTATCTCTAAAACACATCTCTCAAACACAAACCAAACATACCCAGACTTCTTTTTTTTTAAGACTCACAATCCCCTTTGGATCTCTATCATTGATGGTGTGAGCCCCACCCTACACATACATAATGGGTTCCACACCTACATCAATGATAAAGATCCAAAAGGAGTTGTGGGGGTTTCCAAAAAATGGGAGTCTCAAGTATTTTTCTTCATTTTATAAGATATTTTATTTATAAAATAAATAAATTATTTTAATAATTATAATTGTAATTATTTTATTTTATTATATTTTTTTTATAAAATATGAATTATTTATTTTAAAAAATATAGGATAAATTATATTAGCAGTCCTGTATTTTTCTCTTTATATCATTTTGATTCGTATAATTTCAATTAACTCGACTTTGATTCTTAATATTAGATTTTGTGCCAATTTACTCTAATTGATAATGTCCATTAATTTTTTTGAACAAAAATAGTCACTGAGTTTGTTAAGATTAAATCACTAAGTTAAATATATTTACAATTTCACTTATGAAAGCATAACATATCTTATAATCAATTGGATCAAATTAAGATAAAATTGTAAATTCAGGATCAATATCGAGCCAATTGAAAATGCAGGAACCAAAATGACATAAAGATCAATATAAATTGCCTAAAAATATATTTGTTATCCATTTTTCAGAGACAAACATAATAAAATGAAAATGGTATGATTATCAAATCGACTTATTATTTTTATGATATTTATACCTGGAGAGTCTTACAAAATAAATAATTCAGATCATCAAAATGGGACTCGTTGTGAGCCCCACAAACCCTTTAAGTCCTCTCAAATTCAAATCTAAACTTGAAAAAAAGCAGACCAATTAAGGGTTGTTTTGTAAAATAGTTTTTAGTGACTTTTTAACTTGGAAAAATTAGTGAAAGATCCCTCTCCAACTTTGTGTAGTAGGAGAGATCCAAGATTTTTTTTTATTAACTAATATCCCTCAATAAAATTTTTCTATGATCATATCAGAGAAATTTCGAAATTTCACTATGAAATCAGAGAAATTTTTATGTGAAAATTGAAATTTCTCTATGTCGGGGTTGAAATTTCTCTAAGTGGGGTGAAATTTCTTTGAGTTAAATTTTCTCTGTGAAAATGTTAAAGGACCTTAATTATTATGAAAATATTGTATGTCTTTTATCTTATAAAATTTTAATATCGAAATGTTAAAAAAAATCCCCTTTTAACTTTTTATAAAAAAAATATTCAAAAAAATAGGAAATTTTTTTCTTTATGTAATAATTTTTAATTTTTTAACTAAAATTTCATGTCGACAAAATAAGTAACTACTAAAATACCTCACTAGTAATTTCTTTGAGCCTATGGTCTTCTATTTATGGGCCTACTCAGCCTCCATTTCGATAATTTTTTTGGGTGTATATTCCATTTTGGTAATTGTAATTGTTCATCTTGTAAAATTTATTGAGCAAATTATTCATATAAAAAAATTAAATTAATCGATCATTCGTATTCACATGAATAAATTATAAAATCATTGAAAAAAATATATAGTAAATATAAATTTAAAAATACATTTTTTTATTAGCATAATTTTATGATCCGATTATACAACTATCAATGTCTGAATAATTTTATTTTTTAAAATAATAATCTTCTTGACATATAAAATAAACAATTCTAACTATTGAAGTAGGCTCGGTGTGGTAAGAGCAAGTAAATTGCATTGTCCAATCGATTTTCATAGAATAGAGAAAAACCTTAACCTCTTCATGTAACCCAAAAAATTTTGTTTTGGCATTTTTAAAAACAGTTTTTTGACTTTTTAATTAGTATTTTTTGTTTTTAGTATTTTTTTTTAAGTTTTAGATTTACTTAATTTAAATATACTTAAAAAATATGAAATTTATATAAAAATCTTTTAAAAATTCATTGAATACAAAAAATATAAAAATAAACATAAAAATTTAATACATTTTTATAGTTTGTTATATTCAATAATTTTTTTTTAAAGATTTTTGTATAAATTTTATATTTTTTGCTTGTGTCTAAATTAAATAGATCTAAAAAGTTCAAAAAAATTGATTAAATATTTAAAAAATTCACGAAAAAAAATACGATGTAAAAACTTATTTATAAAACTAGTTTTAAAAATTCCAAATCAAACAAAATAAGATGTCATTGTTTAATCAATGTCTATAAATTTGGAGCATCAATGTAATTATTCCAAAGTACCTACTAATATTTCGTCACTAGGGAAAAAACAGTACATGATGTACATTCTTAGGCTACTAATTTTTAAAAAATGTTCAATTGTGGGGCTCATTTGGCAAGTTGGTTGACTTATTTGGTGTCGTTTGGTAACATTTACGTTTTCAGTTTATATTTATAAGAATTCAAAAAATTCAAATAAAAACTTATTTGGTAAAATTTTTGATTTATAAATCAGTGGTCTTAGTTTATAAATTTGGCCAAAAAATAAAAATACAAAAAATGTGTTTCCATTTTGAGTTTTTAGTTTTTTTTTACCACCCAACACTAGCCACCAACCGCCACCATTTTCCACTACCGTCTTCTGCCACCACCACCCCCCCCCACCACCACCTGCCACCACCACTCACCACCCACTAGCCACCACCAGCCACCACCTACCCACCAACCACCACCCACCACCCACCTGCCACCCACTCGATACCACCACTCACCACTCGCCACTACCACCACCACCCACCACCCACCACTACCATCCACCGTTTGCCACCACCACCCGCCACCTACTTGCCACCACCACTCACCACCTACCTACCACCACCATCTACCACTAGCCACCTACCACCACCAGCCATCTGCCACCCACCTGCCACCACCACCACCACCATCACCCATCACCCACCTGTCACCACCACCACCACCTACTCGCTACCACCTACCACTCGCCACCGTCACCTACCCACCCAACACCACCACCACCCGCCACCCACCTGCCACCACCACCTACCACTCGCCGCCACCACCACCACCACCCACTCGCTACCACCCACCACCCTCCACCGTCACCCACCCACCTACCCATCATCACCACCCACCACCACTCGCCATCTGCCACCCATCTGCCACCACCACCCACCACCCGCCACCGTCACCCATCCACCCACCACCACCAGCTACCCACCACCTACCGTCACCACTTTCCACCACCGTATTCTCCGCTACTCGCCACCACTTGTCATTTCTCACTTTTTTTATATTTTTATATTTTTTTAAACATTTTGTCAATTACCAAACATGTTTGTAGTTTATGTTTTTCTAAAAATAAACAAAAATCAGTTTATAAAATTTTTGTAAATATAAACTGAAAACGTAAACTTTTTTTTTGAATAAATTATATTTTTACCCTTCAAATTTTATTTAAATTCTACTGTGATCCTTTATTTTTCAATTAAAACACATTAAACCGTACACTTTATACTATGAATACGACGCTTCCTTCACATGCCATTCAAATGGTCTGTATCTAGTGGGGAAAAAACATTGAAAAAGTATGGGACCCATAACCTCTCAAATTTTTTTTTAAGTTTACACAAAATTATTACAAAAGGGCTAAGTTTTTTTGGAAAAATTACGTAGGTGAGGTGCACAAATAATACGGTGCCATTTGGTCTGTGCGGGCCCATCACGGTCCCTTTTGATGATATGAACTATACAATGTGTAAAACCTGTCGAGTATTATATATCTATAAAAAATCACGTTGATCGGATATCGCTAACTACATGATCAAATCAATTTTGTATAAAAAAATAGATGGTGTTATAATTAACGGTTGAAAAAAAACTAATCCGATCAGATAGCTATCGATATCCGATTAACGTGAATTTTAATTAGCATATAGTACTCAACTAATTCTACACATTGAACGGTTCAGATTATCAAAACGAAACCTGTGATGGACCCCACAAGCTGAAAAGTACCGTCTAATGTAATGCCCGAAAAGTATGCAACCATTTCTTATCATCAATTCACTCTGCCCAGACAGTACGACCATACTGCCTACTGTTCTTATCTTTTCCTATACACTAATTTATATAATTTTTTAATACATATTTTTTCGTAAAAAGTCAAAAAGTTAATTCAAATAACCATCTTTTTTCCCTTAACATTTTAGTCTAAAAA